GTGTGTGTGTGTGTGTGTGTGTGTGTGTGTGTGTGTGTTGTTGTTGTTATTGTGGTGGTGGTGGTTGGCAGATTGGAATCAGACAAGCAAACAAAAGCAAAAAGCGAGCGAGTGAGGGAAGCCACTCGGTATTGATTGGTCGCTCCTTGTTGTCCTTCTTTAGGGAAAATAAAGGGTGAAAATTATGAGTAGTTTTTTTTTTTTCTTGCTTCCTTTCGAAGCAGCCACTGGAAATCCACAGCTGGAAATCACAGGGAAAGCGTCCTTCCAAGGGGAATAAAGTAGACCATGGCTTAAAGAGAGCTACTTTGGAAGAAAGAGAGGAAAAGTGAGGCAGAAAGTACGTACTCCCTTTTGTGCGGGTATCATGAGGCTTTGCCTGTAAAAATAGCCGTCGGCATTTTTCGCAATTACGCATAGTTATTTCCGTCTTTTTAATTCTGCAAGCAATATTGGCGTGCCCCTTCCCTCTTCCATACTTTTTGTACCTTAAGTGACCACTCACTGAAACCTTTCACTTCGGACCTTTCATTTTACGACCGCATTAAGGAACTCAGCTCATTAAAACATAACATAAAATCACCAGGATTCGTGTTAATTTTTCAAGGGGAGTGTTGGGGGGGGGGAACAGGTCAGATTCATATTTTCTGTGCTGTTCTGTAGAGTTCTGAAGCGAAGAAAAAAAACCCCACTACTATAAATTACATAGTGTTATTAACAGTCAGCGCGTTTCCTTCAAAAGTCTACAGATCTTCAAATGTTTCCCTCATGTTTCCCTCACACACCAAAAAAAAAAGAAAAAATTAAAAAAAAAAAAGAAAAGGCAGTCTTATTATTTTCAGAAGAGACCTAGGTAGCTCTTACTGATTTCCAGTTTGGAGGACTAAAATACAATCTCAGCTACATTCGCGAAGATGGTTTTTAGGTGTGTTTTTCTTCCCAGCAAAGGTCACATTCTTGATTTTTGAGGCATGGACCGGCTCAAACCTCTTGTGAGATTGCAACTGTATTTTCTTTAGACACCTTCCCAATAAGAGAAAAAAAAAAAGACACTGCAGCCTTCTAGTCCGTCTTTATTAGATTTTCACAAATAAAAGATGTGTTTTTTCCTTTCAGAAAGGAATATGTGAGTTGCCCCCCCCGTAAGTAGACAATGAACTATGCAGAGGAATGGCAATTTTCCCACCACCTATTGTGAAAATATTAAAAAATAAAGCCACATATGCTCTGAAGAAGCAGTCTTCACGAGTTACGAGTAATTCCCAATGCAGCACAATGAACATATTAATTTTTACAGGAGAAATCACCAACTCGATCCTCCCCTGCCCAAGTTGCCCCTTCTCTAAAGAAACCCAATAACAAAATGAAGAAAAGAACAGCTAGGAGAAAGGCTTCTTAATTAACAGCTAATAGGCGAGGTGACCATTTTCCTGGTCTAATCAATCCTAAAAATTCATATTTTCAAAATCGCAGCGCCTTAGATAGCCTGTCAATGCAATAAATGCTGTTCTGCAAATTAAAGGACGGGACTGCAAAAAAAGTTGTCAAATCTGGGCAGTTGGGTGAAGATTGGAAACACTTGATTGCTGCATTTTTTCAAATTATTATTCCCGCACGCAATAGCCAAAGGTGCAGTGAGAAAAACCGGAATTGTACCTAGGTGGAAAAATCAATATTTGCCGTCAATGTCTATGGAAGAAAGAAAGCCCACTCACCATTTTAATTAAATAGGATATATGGAATTCTCTGCTCTTTTCTTTCTCTCTCTTATTTTTTTGTAATTTTTTAAGGAAAATATCTTGACATTTGCTGTCTGGGGAAACTGCTGTCCTTTGTCTGCCCTGTTTTGGCTGTGTTTATGGGTGTGTGTCAATGTGTCTTTCGGGTGCATGCGCTTGAACGTAGCTTTATCCAGGCGCCCGCATTGCACTTTGAGATGTTGCATGGCCGGAGTTGATTTTATTCCTCTTCCCCGTTTCCCGACCTTGGCGAAGGTGCGGGGTGGGGTGTTGGGTGGGTGGGGGG